TTTTCTATTGTTGATTAGTTCTTTGTTGTTGTAGGTAATATTGAATTAATGGATCATTATCTTCAATGTGAAGACTTGGAGGATAATGGTGAAGAGCTTGAAGAACAACTTACTAGGTTTTCTTCTCCTCCACCAGATTCTGAGGTTCAATCTTTTGCATCTGTAGTAGAACATTTAGAAAGTAGACTTGCAGTTGGCATGAAAATGAATAACCTTGAAGATGCATACTTGCTCTACTGTCAATATGCACATGCTAAAGGTTTTAGTGTTAGAAAAGGTGATCAAGGGTTTTTTTCGGGCACTAAAGAAATACGAATGAAAGAATTTGAATGTTCTTGTGAAGGAGTTAAGGATGAAAGACGTTCTAGGAATAATATTCCTGAGTATCAAAAATCGATAACTAGAACAAAATGCAAAGCAAGAATTAGAATTACGAGAGAGAGAGAGAGAAGGGGATTGGAAAGTGAGTAGATTTTATGTTGAGCATAATCATGAAATGGTTCAACCTGATCAAACTCATTTGTTGAGATCATCACGTAATCTCACGCATGCAAAGAAATCTACTCTAGAAGCTATGGTCAATGCAGGAATTAGTGTTACTAATGCCGTTTCTTTTATGGAAAATGAGGCTCATGGTGCAAATAATTTGGGTTTTACCGTAAAAGATGCATATGATCATTTTAACCATCTAAAGAGGCAAACAAAAGTTGAAGATGGAGATGCTGCTAGTTTGCTTCAATATTTTATAAACAAATCAAATGTGGAAAATCAATTCTTTTGGAATGTACAGTTGGATGATGATAATCGGATAATGAACTTTTTCTTCAGGGATCAAAGATGTGCAGTCGATTACGATTTTTTTGGTGATGTGCTATCGATTGATACAACTTACAAAACAGATAGTTACAATCTAATTTGTGCTCCATTTATCGGTATAAATCACCATAATAAAAACGTGATGTTTGGCCTGGCTTTTTTGTCCGATGAAACTGAAAGTTCATTTGAGTGGTTATTTTCCACATTTCTTGATTCTATGAATGGAAAACAGCCCCAAGTTGTCTTTTCTGATCAATGTCAAGCCATGATGAATGCTATTGATAAAGTGTTCACACATTCGCATCATCGTTTATGTCAATGGCATATCAATCAAAATGCTCCATCCCATTTAGGAAGTTTGAATGGTGAATCGGAGTTTAAGAAATTATGGCATAAATGCATGACATATTGTGATTCCGTAGATGTGTTTGAGGCTACGTGGAAGTAAATGATTGAGCAGTACAGTCTTCATGAACACAAACGGCTAAAGGGTATGTACAAACTGAGAAAGAGATGGGCCACGGCTTTTAGTAATGACAAGTTTTGTGCAGGTCTACAAGCCACTTCAAGAAGTGAGGTAACAAATCGTGTCTTGAAAGATTTGGGTAATAGGACTCTTACTTTGCACCAATTTGTTTTGAACTATGAAAAAGTTCAAAATAAATGGAGGGCTACTGAGAGAGATGACGATGCTCATTGTAGCCATGGGAGGCCGGGGCAAATTGTTAAAAATATTCCCTTGTTGTCGCACGCCGCTGAAGTATATACTTTCTCAATATATAAGTTATTCGAGCGAGAATTTGTTTAGTCTTTGAATATTGCAATTATTGATCAAAATGATATTGGTAATGGTTGGCTTGGATTCAATTTGCGGTCTCTCACAAGCGTAATAGATTTTCTGATAATTTGGACTTCGGGAGCCAGCAATCCTAACTGCAAGTTTGATTCCACATGTGTCACATATTTTATCTTCATACTTCAGTCTACTTGGTCTTCCAAAATTCTTAGTGGTTGAAGTCTGTGACATTTTCAAACCTTCAAAAAAATTGGGTTTGAATTTGGAATGTTATTATTCAAGCAACAACTCGATACCCAAATCCAAATTCAATGAATAGAACAAGCAAGAAAAAATCTTAGTACTCTAATGGCCCTCTAGTAAGAAAAAAGCTTTGTAGTTGCAAGATACATATAAGCAAACCTCAGCAGATATATAATGGCCCTCTGGCCCTTCATTTTGTTCTAAGATTTCGAAGAACAAATAATAAACCCAAAGATATAAAAATTTCCTAAACATCTTATTCCGTCACCAAAACTGAACGAGTAACTTTACATATATTTTTTCTTGATCATAACTTCAACGTCCAACAAAGAAAAAAGAAAAAAAAAACAGAAAAATGATGCACCATTAATAGCACGTATTATTCGAATGAAAATCAACAGCAAGTGTTCACAAGTTAGTAAAATCACAAAAACTGAAAAAACACAAAATAGAGTAACCCAAAAAATCACGAACATATGATAAGCCCTAATTCTGCAAATTCGAAATTTAAGCGAAATCACCCAAAAACTGAAAAAAAAAGAAATTAAATAAATTTCTATAAGCACATTATATTAGAATAACATATCAAAAATCGAAATTTAAGAGAAGCCCTAATTCTGCAAAATCACCCAATTCTACAAAACTGAAAAAACAAACAGAAAGGAAGAAAAATAGAGCAACCCTAATTCTACAAAATCACAATATCGAGTAAGTAAAGAATTAAGAGAAACCCTAATTAAGATAAACCCTAATTTTGCAATCGGGCGATGAACCCTAATTCCCCCAAATTCACAAAACTAATTTAGAAAATAACTACTTTTATCCTCCTAAAAAGAATCCTAACTCTTTTACCTGTGAAATCGGGCGATGAAATGGTTAAGAATTTCGGGGTTGAATCTCGAGACGATGGATTCTTTTCTCTCGCGACGGATCTGTGAATCGGGGCTGAATCTCTCGATGAAATGATGTTTCTCTCGCAGCAGGCGATGGATTTCGTGATGGATCTGTGATGGGGGATGAATTTCGCGATGGATCTGTGATGGGGGATGAATTTCGCGCAGGATGTGTGATGGGGGATAAATATCGCGATGAACTAAGCCTTCTGTATGCAATGTGATTTTAGATCTCAACTGAATGTGATTTTAGATCTAACTTGGTAACCATGGTGTAATGTAAGTTGTAACCATGGTTAGTAAATAAAAAATAAATGCAAATAAAATATAAAAGTTGCTGGAAACGGAAAATGGGATTATGGACAGGAAAAAATCAAAAACAGCTGAAAAGTTTGATAACCACGTGGCACGTTGCTATTCGTCCACAGTAGAAACGGGTGCCACCCGCGCGGGTGGCATCGACTAAACCTTGTTTGAGAAGGCGGGCGGGTTGGGTGGGGGAATAATTGGGCCTACTTTTGTTTAAATGTTATCCTCCATGATTGATGCTCATTGGGCCCCCATTCACTGATGGTGTCTGACTTGTGATCAAAGCCAATTTATTCAGCTTTTTTGGACCCTCTCCCCAAGAGGGTATAAAGAAATCAAAAGAAAACAAAAAATGGCTTAAGAACAATAATTTGCGGTGTAAATGTAATGGATCTCTCATGATTTACAGAATTGGTAATCAATGATTGCTAAGGAAAGTGCACATCTAACTATGTTATGTTATTATATGGTATCTAAGTTCATTGTTAGGTTACATTGAGAAATAGTTTAAAATAAACATATATTAATACTCTTGAATTTGTAAAAATGAATATCAAGTTCATTTAGATTCAAACACACGTAATGCTTATATGTCGCGTGTACAGAATAGAATATCGTAATGCATGGCATTCATTTAGTAAACAAAATTATTCGCTATCATGATTGTATCAAATAACATTATATCTTAATTATTTATTCATTTTTCGAACAAGGAACCGGGCCGACAACACAACTAAAGAAGAACATCATGTGAAAAAGGAACCGGGCCGACAAATTATTAAATCTTGGTTAATCAACTTATTTTTCGATATCATGATTGTATCAAATAACATTATATCTTAATTATTTATTCATTTTCCTTTTTTTGTTGTTGTAGTATGGACAGCAATTAACTACTGGACCCAATGATCCAGCGATTGACTGAGACATTGGTCCCTCTATTATCGGAGATGGCTTGAAATTGTTTTCATCATTTTTTTAATATATTTAAATACAACCTGTTTTTAGTTTTACTGAACAGCGTGTTGCCCATATTATGAAACTAATATAGCAATGTAAAAAGTAAGGCCATGTTTGCGGACTTGTACAAGATAAGGCCATGATTAAAACTTCCTATAGATTAATACTATTGATATAAGATCAACCACATTTTATACCTTGTTTGCGGTCATAGATAGGCTTTAGTTAAACAATTGAATCATTGAATAATTTTTTGTTTGCCATTGATGAAAAGGTATGCTAAGATGTAACAATTACAAAATTGTTCTTATATTTGATTTTTTCTATATCAATTCTGCCAACATCAATTCAATTATTCTCACACTGTATAGGATTCCATCAATTAAACATGAAAATGACTTAGCATTATTCATGTCAACAAGATATTACAATGAAACTGCTTAATTATTATGCATGGTGATTAACAAAAAAAATTTATAACTCAAAGCGGGTAATTTTAAAAAATGGTAGCAATCAAACAAATACGTCAATAGGCTATTAAAAAAGAAACTACTATGTCCTTGTTTTTTTTTTGTTTTTTTTTTTT